TGTGTCCATCCATCCATCCATCCATCCACCCACCCATCCATCTATCCATGTGTCCACCCATCCATCCATCCATCCATCCGTCCACCCACCCATCCATCTATCCATGTGTCCATCCATCCATCCATCCATCCATCCATGTGTCCATCTATCCATGTGTCCACCCATCCATCCATCCATCCGTCCACCCACCCATCCATCTATCCATGTGTCCATCCATCCATCCATGTGTCCATCTATCCACGTGTCATCCATCCATCCATCCATATATCCATCCATCCACCTACTTACCCATCCACCCACCCATCCATCAACCATCCATGTATCCATCCATCCATTCCATCCATCCATATATCCATTCACCCCCTTATCCATCCATGTGTCCAATTACCCATTTACCCATCCATCCATCCATCAACCATCCATGTATCCACCCATGTATCCATCCACCCACCCACCCACCCACCCATCCATCCATTCCATCTATCCATCCATCCACCATCCATGTATCCACCCATCCACCCACCCACTCAACCATCCACCCATACATACATTCATCCATCCATGTGTCACTCATACTTCTACCCACCTACTCATTAACCCCATCTGTACTAGCTGGTTTTATACCAACTTGGTGAAATCTAGAGTCCTTTGGGAAGAGGAAACCTCAATTGAGAAGATTCTCCAGCCATGGCCTATGGGCAAACTTTTTATGCAGTTTCTTAGTCGGTAATTGATGTGGGATGACCTAGCCCATATTTGTGGGGGCTCTTCTGGGTAGGTGGTCCTGGGGTGTGTAAGAAAATAAACTGAGCAAGCCAGGGAGAGCAGGCAGTAGGCAGTACTCCTCCATACCCTCTGTATCAGCTCCCGCCTTGAGCTCCTCCCCTGACTTCCTTTGGTGATGGGCTGATTTGGAAGTGGAAGTGTGGTGATTTAAACAAGAATGGCCCTCATAGGCTCATATGTTTGAATGTTTGGTCCCCAGTTAGTGGGAGTGTTTGGGTAAGATTAGGAGGTGTGGTCCCGCTAGAGAAGGTATGTCACTGAGGGTGGGCAATGAGGCTTTAAAACAAGCCCCCAACTAAATATTTTCTTTCATTGCCTTGGTCGTGGTGTCTCTTCACAGCAAAAGTACAATAACTAAGACAGTAAGTTAAGGTGCTGGAGAGATGGCTCAGAGATCTAGAGCACTGGCTGTTCTTCCAGAGGTCCTGAGTTCAATTTCCAGCAACCACATGGTGGCTCACAACCGTCTATAATGAGATCTGGTGTCCCCTTCTGGCATGCAGGCACACATGCAGGCAGAACACTGTATAAATAATAAATATGTAAATTGAAAACCAACCAACCAACCAAACAAACAAACAAACAAAACCAACCAACCAAACAAACAAAAAAGTGGGCTGGAGAGATGGCTCAGCACTGGCTGTTCTTCCAGAGGTGCTAAGTTCAATTTCTATCAACCACATGGTGTCTCAAAAGCATCTGTATTGGAATCTGACTCCCTCTTCTGGTGTGCATGAAAACAGAGCACACCAGATAAATAAATAAATCTTTACAAAAAGACAGTAAGTTAACTATCCCTTTCTCACTAATAGACCATCCATTGTCCATCTGTCTTCCATCCATCCATCCATCCATCCATCCATCCATCCATCCATCCCATCCCATCCATGCATCTATCCATCCATATATCCACCCCACCCCACCCCCATCCATCCACCCTTTACTGACCCATGCTCCAAATCATCCATCCTCCTTCTACACAAACTTCTATCATCCAGCTATTCCTGTCAACTCACACACCTACCTACGTATCCTTCCTTCATCCATACATTTACCAACCCAAGTGTGTACACAGCCAGACAGCCCTTTCCCCATTGATACTCATTCCTACTTCTATGTCCCCGTTAGCCACCCCTTCTCCTGTACCGTCTCCTTTCCCCACCTCATGCCATCCTCAGTCTGCCTAACTCTTCATCTCTGCCTCTCTGGCCGTCACTTCCCTCTGCTCCTGTCCCCAAGCTGGTGTTTTAATCTTCCCTCTCTTCTCCCTCCAACTTGTTCTTATTACCTAGGTCCTGTTGTCTCTGTGCCATTATTTTTTTAAACTTTTTTGTAGACACCTATCCCTTGAAGAGTCTTCAGAGTTTTTCTCCTCTGTCCTCTCAGCAAGTGTGTTTCTCCAAATGGCCCTGTGTGCCTGTGTTCTCTGCCGGTCTCACTCCATCTGCCTGCCGAGAGCTACACCTTGCTAAGCATGTGCTAGACACTGAGACATTCTTAGGGACAACCAGGGGACGTATGTCCCCACTTGTGGACCAGGCTTATGAGGGTCGGAGTCTGCATCTCTTCCTGCCCCCCCCCCCACCCTATTGCTCTCCTCCTCCCCTCACCCGGGAATGATCACCACAACCCTTCCATCTCCCCAGACCACAGCTCCAGCCAGATTCTCCTTCCTGAGTTTGAGCGGCTCTGATGGGCAAGTCTCATTCTGAAAGTTCATTTCCTGAAGCTCTGGATCTGCAGCAATCATTTACTTCCTGTTCCTCAGAGGCTGCACCATGCCATCAGCTCTGAGGAAAGCCAGCAGCCAATCAGTGAGGGCCACCTCTAAGCTCCAGCTGACACGCGTGTCCCCGGCACTCAGCACTGCCAGCTCCTGGCATGGGAGACACTCAAGCGGTGAAATTATCTGCTCATGGTGGCACAATTTGGTGGTTGTAGCAACTTGGGAGGTGGAGGCAGGAGGATAGCAAGTTCTAGGCTAACTTGGGAAATGTGGTGAAATCTTTCCTCAGACAGTCCAGTGGGTAAAGGCACCTGCTACCAAGCCTGATGCCCAGAGGTTGGTTCCGAGGACCCACACAGTAGGAGAGGTCCAATTCTTTCGAGTCATCTCCTGCCTTCTACTGTGTACCCGTGCACCCCCCTGCACAAATAAATAATGAGTTTTAGAAGGCTTTAGCCAGGTATGGTGGTACATGCCTCTAGCTCTGGGGAGGCAGAGGCAGAGGCAGACTGATCTCTGCAAGTTCAAGACAAGCCAACACTACACAGTAAGACTTTGTCTCAATCTATATATTCTATTTTTAGGTTTTAAGCAAGGAATGGATGGAGCTGGAATGATAGCTCAGTGGTTAAGAGCACTGGCTCTTCTTCCAGAGGACCTGAGTTCAGTTCCCAGCACCCACATGGAGGTTTGCAACCATCCATAATTCCAGCTCCATGGATGCTCTTCTAGCTTCTACAGGCAGCAGGCACACGTGGTGTACAAATGCACCAAAACACTCATATACATCCATTAAAATAAATAAATCCAAAGAAAGAAAGAGAAAGAAAGAACAGAGTTTCATGGTGGCATGCTTGCCTAGAATCTACCATTGAAGCATTGGGGGCACAGCTCAGTGGCATCAAGCCAGGGCAAGGCCCTAGCTTCAGTCTCCAGTATGAGCTGAGTGTGGTGGTGCCCGCCTATAACCCTAACCCTCTCAGGGGGCAAAGGCAGGTGGGTCTCTGAGCTCAAGGCCACCTTGGTCTACAGAGAGAGTTTTAAGACAGGGCTATACAGAGAGACACTGTATGGAAAAAAACAAAAAGAAAAAGAAGAGGAAAAAGTGACAAAAGTATTCTCTGTTCAGTATCATCATTATTCCAATGGTCTTAGGCTGGCTAATAGCATAGACTCAGCCTGTCTGTCCTTTGGACACACTCAGGCAATATCCAACAACATTTGCCAGCTGGTCTTGAAGATTTTCTTTTCTTCCTATTTTTTTTTTTAAAGATTTACTTTATTTTTAATTGAGAGAGACAGAGACAGGGAGAGAGGCTGTGTAGTTGCCTAAGGAGGCCCAGAAAAGGGTATCAAATCCCCCACAACTGGACTTACGAACAGTTCTGAGCCACAGATTTTGGGTGATAGGAACCCATCTCAGTTCCTCTGCAAGAGCAGCAGGCAATCCTCACTGCTAATCCATCTCTGCAACCCTGAAGGCTTTCACATAAATACCCATAACGCCATCTTTCTCATTAAAGGTAAAGAGGAAAAGACGGAAGATCAGGTGGTCTCAAGTTCCTCACGGATGTGTGTGAGAAAGAGGGTTTTTAAAATTAACATTACTTATTTACTGTTGTGGCATGGAAGGGGGTGTGGAAGCCAGACCATCAGGTTTGGCCACAAGTGCCTTTACCCACTGAGCCATCTTCAACAGAAAGCCCCAGCCTTTCCCACTTCATTCCCCTCCTGTATAAATATAAGTATGATAACTAATAACAAGTATAAATAAACACAAGGAAAACGTCATTCTGGAAGGTTCTCACCCTGTGGAACTGCCACTGTCAACAGGTGTGATGACAGGACCTGGACTGAGGCCTTTTCTAGTCAACCCCCAGGAGCCAGGGTGTCCTTGGTAGGTGTCGTGGGAAACCTTAGGGCACCCTCCTAGCTGGGGGGAGGGTATGATTGTGACATCCTCCTCCCCGACTAGGATGGCACCTCTAGGGGACAGTCCCATACCATAGGGAATGGGCACCATCCCCTCTGGACATTGGCACTCCTGTCCCTAAAGATGCTATTTATGGCCATTGGAGCACAGGGTTCAATTCTGATTTTTGTTTGGTTGTTAAAAAATGGTGTCACCTAGCCCAGGCTGGCTTTGAACTCCTGATCTTCCCGAGTGCTGGGATCATAGGTGTGCATGCTCAAACCTGCTATATGTCTTTCCTATTTTCCTGCATGATTTAGCAGGAGTGTTTAACTTCCGGGCTCTTCTGCCTCTGCCTCTTACACGGCATGGTGTCTCAGTTTTCTTTCTCTTCATGCACACAGGCCCCTGTGCAAGGCTCCCCTGTACGGGATAGCTGTGCCACAGCACACACAGACACTTGCTTGGTCCTGTGAGACACCCCAGCCTACCAGTGTGCACTAAATGCTGACTTGTGGAGAAGTCAGTTGCATCAGTGACTTCACTCGTGGGAAGCACAACTGGGTTTACTCTGTCCAGACACTGCCTCGAGACACTGGTCAAAGTTGTCCTCAAGGCAGCCCTGAGAACGCAGCACTGGAAAGCCCAAGTGGGGCAGAGTTCCCAAAGGAAGTGTTCACGGTCACGAAGTGTGGCTTAGCAGAGGGTGGGTGTGAGCCCAGGCCCCCGGCTCCAGGGTCTGTAAGCCACTTTCTTCCTTTTCTGTTTTCCTCCCGAAACAGGGTTTCTCTGTGTAGTCCTGGCTGTCTTGGCCTTGCTTTGTAAACCAGGCTGGCCTCAAACTCACAGAGATCTGCCTGCCTGTATGGCAGGGTTGGGATTAAAGGCGTGTGGCACCACACCTGGCTTCCAAACCTCTTTATTATGGTGACTTAGGATATTCGTTTGTCATAGTTCAGATGTGAAAATGGAAGCCCAGAGAGGGAACGGGCCTTGCCTAAAGTCGCATATCATTTGTGGGAGCATCTGGACCGAGGCTGGTCTTTCTGAGTCTCCCTGATGCCCCTGGAGGGACTCCAGTCACCGCGTCTCCATCTGGGGCTGTGGTGTCCTCCATCTTCCCTCTACCCTCTAGGTCACAACCAGCTCAGTCTCCCCCACTCTGCTCCTCCCTACCTCTCACCTACAGTGTCAAAATTTCCTCACAGCTCCCTCTCTACTATATATGGGGAGGTGGCTTATTGGGTAAAGTGGTTGTCGTGCAGGCATGAGGACCCGGGTCTGAACCTCAGGACCTCAGCTAAAATACAGATCATATCTGTAGCCCCAGTGCTGAGGAGGTGGAGATAGAAGGACCCCTGCTTGGGGGCCGGGCAGTCTAGCCAATCAATGATCTCTAGGTTCACAGAGAGACCCTGACTCAAAAAATAAGGTGAAGAGCACCTGAGGAAGCCCCTTGGCACTGAGCTCTGTGCCTGCACACGAGTACACTCACATGACAACCCACACCCCACACACTCACACAGCCTATTTTGGACCCTAACCCAGGATGCTGTCCTTTTTAAGAGAACCTACAAACTGTCTGATGCCCCATCACCAGGGCCGCTAGGAAGCTCAGGGTTACAGCCATGGCTCAGGTGCAAATGCTCTGAGCCTGTAGTATCTTTTTTCTCTCTTGCTCTTCCTTCCCTCCCTTCCTTCCTGTACTGGGGATAGAATCCAAGAGTTCTTCATGGGTGCTAGGAAGTACTTCATTCACCCTTAGCTACGTCTCCACTCCACATCCTCACTGTGTTACTCAGGCTGAACTCGAATTTACAGCAATCCTCCTGCCTCATCTTTCCTAGTGCCGGGATCACAGGCATAAGCCCCCATGCCCAGAGAAACCCTCTTGTCTCCACTTTGATGTCAACCCTAAAGCTCTTTTATATCGAGGCTCCTCTTATAGCAGGATCTATTAAGTGACAGGAGTTAGCAGATCACACACAGTGTGAATGAGTGTCTTGGGCACCACAAATAAATTATGCATGTGCGTGAACGAATTAGGCCAGACCCATGAATAAATTATGCAAATAGAGGCAGCAGACTTAGACTTGTGGGAAATAAATTAACCAAATGCTGTGAAGGAAGCTGAGGACAGGCAGGAGTACAGGTGAAGACGCTGGACGGGGGAGAGATGGAGGACTGTGGGAGTCGCGGTGTGAGCCGGGCAGCTGTGAGATTCAAATTTGTCTCGGTGTGGAAATAAATTATGGAAAGTGGACACCGGCCTGTGCTGGTGTCTCTGCCAGCCGGACGGGAGTATGAACTACACTGTCTGAACTGAGATGAATAATGAATGAACTGTGCAAACTGCCCTGTCTCTCTGCCCTACGGAGAGACAAATTATGCAGATTAGGGTACCACAGATGCCAGTCCGTGGATATATTATGTAAATGCACGGAGTTACACAAATTGATTTGTGCCGTCAGAACACGGGAGGCTGGCCTATGCAAGTGTAGTGTGAATTATGCAAATAGAGATGTCATATTGCAAAGTCAGAAATAAATTATGCAAACAGAGCGCTCTCAGGTGCCCCTGTGGCCAGCTGAGGCGTGTTTTACACGGACCTGGGGCTCCGTTAGCCCATGCGTGGCCCCGGGAATTACCTTCCGTGTGCACACAGCGCTCTCTCTTGCACCTGCATTCCTGACTTGCTTCTTTTGGCTCAGCCCTCTGGTGCAGAGAGCGACTGGCACAGCTGGTGGTTCTGCTAACACACACGCACAGGCACATACACACACATGCCCACAGACACACATGAGTACACACACACACACACGCGCACACACACACACACACGCACGCATGCTCGCACGCACGCATGCGCACACACGAACGCGCATACATATACAAGCACAGACATTCCAAGCCACGTCCCTGGGGTGCGGGCCTCTACTCACCTGGACCACGCCCGGGGAGAAAACTGCTAGAATGAGATAAAGCCAGACGTAGGCGAAGATGCTCCAGGAGGCGGTGACGAAGAAGACCCTCAGGTGTTTGATCTTGCGGCTCTCGCCGGCTGGGATGACATACACGCACACGGCAATGACCACAAACATGTTGAAGGCGGCGCTGCCCACGATGGTGCCTGGGCCCAGCTCCCCCGCCTGGAAGTTGTGGCCACAGACCTCGATGACAGACAGCAGAATCTCAGGCGCGGAGGAGCCCAGCGCCATGAGTGTGAGGTTGGACACTGTCTCATTCCAGATGCGCACAGTGCCCACGCTGGTCTCCCCGTTGGCCTTGGTGATGGTGATCTCCTTCTCCTTGGACGTGATGACCTCGATGGACGCCATAAAGCGGTCGGCGATGATGGACACACCCAGGAACATGTAGACCATGGCCACAAAGTACACCACGGCCCGGGCAGCCTTGTCCCCCAGTGACGGGTCATCGGGTTCCCACACAGGCAGCAGCACCCCCGGTTGGCAGCGGTAGGAGCCTTGGCAGCCGCCTGGGCTGGCATCGCTGTCGTTAGCTGGGGGAGGCGGCAGGGAAGGGGTCGGAGTGGCTTCCCCCACGCAGTGGGGTGTCCCCAGGAGGAGCACAACCCCCACCAAGGCCAAGGGAGCCATGGGGGGTGGTGGGGTCCTGGGGGGAGGAGCAGGAGATCAAAGTGAGCGGATCACATGTCCTCCTGTCACTCAAAAGGCACAGTATGGCCCGGGGGGTGTGGCTCAGTGGTGGAGCCCCTGCCTAGAATTCCCCAGTGAGGGGCTGGGGTGTGGCTCACTGATAGACCTTGTGCCTAGCATGCAGAAAGCCCTGAGTTTCACTACCAGCACTGCCAAACAATAAAGTTCCAGTTTGTTAGGCTACAAGACAAGGGTGAGCTGGGAACCAGCAAAGGAGGTAAAGAGACTCAGGGAAACAAAGAGATCACCACACAGACACCCAGAGAAAAAGACACAGGAAAGCCCAGGGCAGAGGGGCTTGTAAAATGCTGGAAGCAGAAATTAGTCAAAATGCCTTGGGAGCCTGTGGCCAACCACCACACACTCTATGCCTCAGCAGCGATGTTCCTGGGACAGAATTATAAACCCGTCTTCCCAAAAGGCCCCCAGAAGAACATCCATGGCAGCTTTGTCTATAGCAGAGCCAACCTTGAAACAACTTGGAGGCCTCTCAACAACTGGATGCAGAGACAGTAACGGAGTAGCATACTGCCCTAAGCAGGGGTGGTGGTGGCTGTATGTCATGACATGTAAGAGCCAGGTCCTGAGACCTGGGGCTGAGTGAAGGATGCAGGCTGTGTGAGCCTGGAGCTGGCGGTCAGGACTCTGCCAGGAAATTCTTGTCAGCTCCATGTGGCTCTTGATGGGGCTGTGGTAGGTTCTGGGTCCGAGTGTTTATTTTTTACTTTCTGTGTTTATGTTTTATTACATTTTATGTATTTGGGGGGAGGGGTTGAGTGTGCCATGGCCAAAGAAGAGGTGTGAAGACAGAACTAACCCTTACGAAGCTGTCCTCTGACCTTACATGTGCACATGGTAATAAAGAATAAGCATACACGAGCTTCCAGCCATCCTCTTTCCAGAACATTCCACAGCTCTACTGAGGACTGTGGTCCCCTCCCTTCCCTGAACAGCCTCTCCCTCTCCGGTCCAGCATTCTACCCTCTGCTGGTCCTTGCACACACCATGCAAGTTTCTCTCCGCCTTGGGGCTCATTCGGGTGTCACTTTCCCTGACTGTCCTCGAGAGATGACATCCCCGGCCTCTGGGGAGGAGTCTTTCACTCAGTTCACAGAGTGAAGGATCACAGCTCAGAGAAGTGAAGCAGGTTGGGCTTCCACTCTTGCCAGAAGGTGCCCAAGGTCTGAGCTCCCGGCCCCGCCCTCATGTTGCTATGGTAACCCACAGAGAGAAAAGGCGGGCCAGGGGAACTGTCATCTGAGCCTGCTGCCCTCTTAAGAGATGCCTTGGGGGTGTCTCTAGGAATCTCCACCTTCCATGTCAGTCTGAAAGTTCCTCTGAAAGTCTAACCCACCGCCTGCCCTCAGCTCACACCCACAGATCAGGAACGGGCTTCTCTGTGGGAGGGAGGCAGCATGTTGCCAGAAGTTCCCCAAAAGGAGTGATCAGCATGTGTGTGTGTGTGTGTGTGTGTGTGTGTGTGTGGAGGGGCAGGGAGAGGGGTGATTCTTAAAGAGCCATTGCACAGTTAGCCCCCTAGACAAGCCCCTAATGATATATCTAATTAGCAGCCCTTTATTAGCAAACACTCAGGCATAATTACGAACCCACCAGGATCCTAAGCAGACTTCGCTTCACTTCTGCCTCCTCCCTCCTTGGCTTTTGGGAGAAACAGGGAAGACCCTGAAAGCCAAGAATCGATCTAGTACATCTAACTGCCTCTTTTGGGGAGGGGGAGACCTGGGAAGTCCTATCTCAAGTCTAGTCAATTGTCGCTCCAGCTGCAGCTCTCCAAGAAGAGCAGGATCAGTGGGCTAGTGTCTGCCTGCCCAGGGGCGAGGTCATCCAGTCTGTTTAATCCCTTTCGCTGTCACCCAGACTCCCCCTCCCTTCCAGGACTTAAAAGACCCAGGAGAGAAAGCACTAGATAAATATTTGGGAAACACATGGACTAGAGGCCTGAGCACTGTCTGCCTGTGGCTGGGGCAGCCACACTTTGTGCTCCAGGCTTCCTCCTCCAGCCTTGAAAGCTAATCTGGGTGTAGACGCAACAGCGAAAGGATCAGGTTGAGTCCAGGAGAGGCCCACAGGGCAGATGGTAGCATCCTCTCTGGGCTCGGAGGTGGTGGAATCTTCAAGGCCATCACTCCCCCAACCTCGTGGGCTGCTAGCCAGCTCTGCCTTGCCTGCCTCTAGGGGATTCTGGAAATCCAGGTGGGACCCTTCTGTGGGGTCCATCAAGGAAGCCGTGGCAGGGTGAGGACTGAGGTGTATCCTGACTGCTGAGGGCTGAGTGCATCGTAGAGTGGGACACAGAACACAGAGCACAAGCAACCGTCTCTCCCTCCATCAACCACACAGGGCCCCCACCACACAGAGTTGCGACTGCAGACAGGGAAACTGAGGCCAGTAGGGGGAGAGAGGACTTGGCCCAGCCAGAGGCAGAGCAGAGATGTGGTGGTAAGGCGTTGGGTTCCTAACCCAGTGATCTTTTAAGCCATCTGGAATCCCCACGCGCCTGACACACAGGGCGGGAGTCTTGTGAGCATGTGAAAGCTCACCCCAGCTCCGGCCCAGGTGTTGGCCAGCTTCTCGCCCACTTAACCGGGGAAGGAAAACGTCAGCTGAGCCCCTCTGCAGAGCCCCCAGGAGGCGGCTGCTTTCCCACACAACCTCCGGTGAAGCAGGTGTGAGGCTGGAGAAATGGAAGTGAGAAGGACTGTCTAGCCTGACCTTAGAGCAGTGCCCAGGAGTAGGAAAGTGTCTCAGAGTTGTGCGAAGAATGAATGGACAAACAGGGAGAGGAATGGGAGTTAGACTTTGGAAGGACTGGTCTAATGGTATATACTACACAGGTTAGGCTGCAGGCAGGACCAGCCTCAGAATGTCAGGGTTGGGAAAACAGGGCAACCTGGGCTAAGGAGGGGTGAGGAGGATTTGGGGGCACTCCAGGCCCTTGGAGGAGTCCACACTGCGGGGGATCGGCCTCCTCCAGGTCCCCGTGCATCAGGGGCGGAGACAGAGGTGTGTGGGTGTGAATTGGCTGCAGGAAAAGGGAGAAGGGAGAGACAGAGACCCGGAGACGGACAGACAGACACACACCACACACATGGCGCACGGTGAAAGCGGGGCAGCCAGGACTTGGAGCCAGGGCTCAGGAAGCCCCCGCACTTGACGACGCGGCGCAGCCTGGGTTCCCGCAGCCCCGGGGGCTCCGGGCGACCGCGCTGGGCTCTTACCTGCCTTGCTGCCCGGCCGGTCCCCGTTGGGCCCCCGCGGTGGTGGGCGCCTCCGCCCGAGGAGGAGAGGGAGAGGAAGGGAGAGAAGCCGGGGACTGAGGGAGAGCAGGGAGGAGGGAGGAGAGGGGATGCGAGGAGGGGAACCCGGGAGGGACGGGGAAGGCGGAGCCCAACAGAGGGGGCGGGGACAGAGGAACTAGGGGCGGGGGGCGGGGTAGCGAAGAGAGGAGCCCCGGGGAGGGGGCTAGACTGGAGAGGTACTGGGTACAGCTTGGGAGGAGGGAGGCGGCCCGCGGAGGGGCGGGGACGGGAACCAGGGGCGGGGGGAGTCAGCCGTGAAGAGGGGCTAAGCTGCTGTGGGGAGGGGGTGAGACAAGTGAGCAGGGGAAAGGAGCACCAGGAGGTGGGAGGGAAGAAATTAAGGAAGGGTGGAGTGGGAACAGGATAGTTGTGGGCTGGAGGACAGGGACAGACTGGAGGAGGGAGGGGCTGAAGGAGAAGAGAGGGTGGGCACAGGGGAGGCTGGGAAAGGACCAGCAGGAGGAAAAAGAGAGGCCGAAGGAAAAGTGGGAGGAGCCAGGGGAGAGCCTGGGAGCTCAGGCTAGGGAACCCGCTGAAGGAAGAGCCAAAAGGAGAAGGCGTGGCCATGGGAGCTGGGGGCGGGGCCACAAACTGGGAGGAGACCTTGCAAAAGAGCAAGAGGGAGGGGCCCGGGAAGGGGCGTGGCCAAGGAAGCTAGGGAGCGGGGGAGGGGCCTGGCAGGGTCGGGGCCGCAGGTTGCCCTAGTCTCGGGTTCAGCACCAGAGGCCAGGGACAGCGGCACAGGGTGTACGTGCGTGCACCTGTCAGGGCATCCTTCCCGTCCCCCATCATGCACCGGCAGCATCCTGTCCATACAAGGGCCCAGAGATGCAGTCATCGCTACAAATAGCCACAGGCTGGCAGACCTGGGGGGAGGGGGAGGGCAGGAATGGAAGGCGGCAGTCCTTTCCAAGTTCACAGGCGAAGCCTGCTCAGAGGACCTCAGAAGGCAGGGAGCTGCCACCAGGTAGGACGGGAACCGCTCCTACAGCGCCTGCCTCGCCAAGGGTCTCATTCCCCACCCTGGGAGATGGGGAAACTAAGGCAGCAGGCTCTGAATGCTACCCTGCCTCTGGGCTGACAAGGTAGGAAGGATCAAAACCTGGAGTGGTGGCACACGTGTGTGAGCCCTGCACGCAGGAGGATGAGGCAGGAGGATGGCTGAGTTCCACGCCATCCTCAGAGCCAGTTGCGGGGTGGCGGTTGAACGTGGACCAGTGGGTAGACTCGTGCTCTGAGCCTGGATTCCGGCCTCAGGACTACGTAAACCAGGTGTGGTGCAGCATGCCTGCACCCCAACAGCCAAGAGGTGGGAGTGGCTCAGGGGCTGAACTCACCCATGGCTCCAGGCCAGCCTGAGCTGTGTAACACCCCATCTCAAGTCCCCCTCAAACTGCAAAGCCAAGTGTCCTGGGATTCTGAAGCTACAGGTGGCTACGACTACTGCACACACTCGAGCCTGCACAGCGGCAGGTGCATGCACACACACTTCCTCAGGATGCACTGCAACCTCTCACCATCCACGGCCTCAGGACAAACCCTGCTCCAGGTTCCCTCCCTCCACATCCTGGGTGCTGGGTGCTGAGCACAAAACGGTGAAAGGCGGCAGAGAAGGCTGCCCCTGCCAGTGGCTGTGTCCACTGCCAGCTCTGGAGGGACACCCTCGGGCCTGCTGCCAGGTGGAGGTTCCAGCTCCCGGTGGCTTCCCACGCCTAGGCCTGGCTTCTTTAGAGGTTGGAGCCTGGGAAGTTGGCTTCTGGTCTCCCCAGGCCCTGCACTTTCTCAGTGAGGGAGGCAGCCACACCCTAGCAGGAGCAACTGGTGCCTACCCAACCCAACAAACACGTAACTGCCAAGGAAGGTGTCCTACCCCAGCCCCAATCCCAGCCCGGATTCCGTCTGAAACCCAACCACACTGTCTCCAATCCTCTTCCTGCTCAGGGGTTGGGGAGGAAACACTTCCTGTTTGGCTACCTTCCTCTGGGCCATAGGATGGCACTTGCTCCTCTCCCACCTCCTCCGCTGTGTAGCTGAGCTGTACCCAATATCCATGTCAGCAGTGACTCCTGGGGCCTCTGTGCCCCAATCCAGCTTTGACCACCCCAACAGAATCTATGTTCAATTACTGTCCGCCACCCTGGGCCTTGTCCAGTCTGCGCACTTCTCTGCAGACTCCCTCCGTTCCCCTCACTGGACCAGTAACATGATCACTTCCACTTTTGAGCTGAAGGAACATGAAGACCCCTCACTAGTTCCACTGGAGATCCTCTAGCCCCAAAGACTCCCTTAGCCTCCATGGGTCTCCTGGGCCCCACCAGAGCCTGAAGACCCTCCTGCTGGGTTCTCACCCGCCCTTCATCTGTGGCTCCTTATTCATCCCAGGTGGAGATAGTGGACCCCAAGCCTCTGGCTTCGGTGGCATTGTCTGGCACCGTACTTGCTGAGTTTAGCTCACCAGAGCGGGTAAAGGCTCCATAGCTCTCAACCACCCCCCCTCCCCACAACTGTAATTTCCTTGGCCTCTCTGTGGAGTCCCCCACCCTCAGCTCTTCAGGAGTGAAGTCAGCACTGGAGAACTGGCATACAGGAAGTACTGAACAGACGCTTGCCAGACAAAGGCAATGAAGAGAACTAGGACAGCTTTGTTGCTCTGTGGGCATGAACAGTTGTCAATGGCCCAGCACCTGATGGGATAGCAGGTGGCTGCTGAGAACACCCCTTTGCAAATGGCTCAGGCAGGAGTGGTCAGCCAGGGTCAAGCAGCACGGGGGTGGGAGGGACAGGCAGGGACTCCCAGCATGCCCCTTCTGGGGGAGTCCAAAGGAAGCACGCCTCTTCTGAGATGCTTCCCTCACCCAATCGATGACCGATGTGGGAAGAGGGAGTGCTCAGGAGGCTGGGAGCTCCTCAGGCCTGGGACCCGCCCTGTCCCCAAGGCCCTGCTGCTGTTTCCTCTGTTCCACTCGCCGACGAAGCCGGGTCAAGACCAGCTTAGAGGCCTGGATCAGGCTATGCTGTGGAGGCAGAAGAGGAGGGGCCCATGTTAGGCCACACAGGGAGGGCAGACACACCTACACAGGGGTGAGCATGGGTCTCCCAAACAGAAGCCAGACTTGGGGGTGGCTCGGAGCTTAGACCAAGTGGAGAGAAGTGAAGCTGGGATCAAATCACTAGCAGTGCTGAGTATGGTGTGGGGGCCGACACAGGACTGTAGAATGTGGGACAGCTTTGGCTAGTGACCCTGCCTCACACACCCAGAGGCTGGGGCATAACAGCGCAGTGAGTGAGTCTGATGTGAAGCACCACACCCACAAATAAGTGGAAGGACAGACAGAAGGAAGGAATGCAAAAGTAGTCAGTGGAAGAGACAGAGATGGCACAAGATGACAAACTACACACACCCTGAAATCCTCCCTGGACACACGGACACACACACACACACACACACACACACACACACACACCTCAAATCCTCCCTGGCCTTATACACACACACACACACACACACACACACACACACACACACACACACTAAATGAGATTTAAAACTCCACGACATCCACCTCTGCTTTACCAGACTGATACCTCCCTGATGAATGCCACTGGGTGGCATTCTCCTGGCTGAGAGTCCCCCCCAAGACCAAGCTACTCCCTCCTAAAGGCAAGACACCATGCCTGAGCTGGGCAACTAGCCTGGGCTCAGGCCGCTGCCCTGTTTCCAACCTTCCTCCCACCATCCCTGGCAAGGTTCCCCAGGGAGTGGCAGCTTCTGCCGCAGCCCAGCAGGCCTGATACCTGGAGGACGTGCACCCCTTTCAGCGAGACCACAGCCAGCTCCCGAAGCCCATCCCCGGTCAGGTCCACATGGGCCATGGCCAGCAGCGGGCTGGCAAAGGTCCTGCGCCACAGCAGGCAGAAGCCTCTGTTGGCCTCGGGCGGTCCTCGGTACTTATAGCAGAGCAGCTCCTGTGGGGAGAGGGGTCAGAGTCTCACAGGCCAAGGGCCGCTGCAGGAAACAGGTGACCGACGGCCCACCCTCCAACACCCACCTGTCCATAGGTGGCCACCAGAACTTCTGGCTGTCCATCCAGGTCCACGTCAGTGACTAGGCCACAGAGGACGCTGTCAAACTGGTCACTGCCGGGCAGGAGAAGCTGGTCTTCCAGGCCCTTGTTCAGAAGGTCCCTGAGGGTCCCAAACACAGCGGGGAAGCTAAGGTCAGGTGACAGGCCTGTGCCACCTTTGGTTCCAGACTGGAGGTGATGCCTGACTGGCTCCCGCTGGGGCGCAGACTCCTCTGACGCTGTGCACCTTGGTTTCAATGAGCCTACCACTGATGTCCCCACAGCAGGCCAACCTGTCATTCTGGTGGCTGGCCTCAAGCGTCCTTCCTGCAGACCCCATTCTGGATGCCCCACTGGGCTCCTGGGTACACACACCCACATGATGACTCCTGGAGACACGGGCACCCTGGTCCCTTCCTTCTAAGCACACACACATGGAGAACTCTGTGCTTGCGTGGACATTTTCACTCCCAACCCAGAGTGTGCCAGAGCTGGATGGAACTGGCTCATAGGAGCTGGTAAGTGTGTGCATGTATGTGCTCGGACTTGAGTGGGCGGTGGGGAGTGGGAGAGGGTGAGGGCTGGTGGAGTGCAGCATGAATGAAGCCCTGGGCTTGACCCAGCACCTCAGTTTGGCATGTAGTCCCAACACTCAGGTGGCAGAGGTGGGGGAGCTGTGCAAGTTCAGAGTCATCCTTAGGTCCACACTGGAAGGCAGCCTTGACTTCATGAGAGCCGCCTCACCCCCACCTCTAACACGTACAAAGCTGACTGCCTGTTTTAGTGTTGCGACTGCACGATTTGTAAGTGGTTTAAAATCCAAAATGGTGGGCGTTCAGACACCAGGGAAATTGACAGGCACTGCATGTCCAGGCCTTCCCAAGTCCACCCATGCCAGGGGTATGGGTGTCTTTAAGATAGGAAGACATACCCACCCTTAATAAATCCTCTGCATATCCTGATGTGAGTGTTCCACCTCCTCCCTGACCACAGCACCTCTCCTGACTGTAACCATCCCAAAGGGGTGACAAGGTTAGACCACACCATATGGGCACGAGGCTAAACTGTGCCCAGAAGCCCCGATGCCCTCACCAGTACACCACCGCTGGCTCCAGCATGCTGGCCACAAGAAGACTGTATCCTTCCTGCTGGGCGCTGTCCTTGGTTGCTATGGGAGAGATAGGAGTTGGTAGTCTGTGGAAACAGGCTCTTCCCTATCTCCTTACCCTCTCAGTGAAGAATGCAGGCCCAAGACTGGGCCTCACAGGGAGGGCTAGGGGTTAGACTAGGAAATGTCCGTAGCCAGACATTAGCTTCTAACGGTAGAACACAACAGAAGAGACAACGGTTAGATCAGAGTTGAAATCTAAGGTTAGACCACAGTGTGAGGACTGGGGAGGTGTTGGAGGGGCCTGCTTAGAAGGCAAAGGGCAGGTTAAGGTGAATGTCAGTGTAGGGCAGACCAAGGTCAAGGAATAGGAAGAAACTGGTACCCGGGGGTGGGGTGAGGCCATGACTGACAGTTGTCAGTCCAAAAGGGAGTGGGGGTGGGGAAGTCAGTGTAATATAATAGGAGATGTGAAGGTTAGAGCACACAGGGAAAGGTGAAAGTAGAGGAAGAGTTCAGGCTAGACCAAAGTGGGGAGGGTGAGGCTGGGCACTAATGGAAATGGTCTGAGTCTGAGCTGTGGCCCAGCTTCTGGGGTGGAGGGAGGGCCCAGCAGGAGCATGAGGTCTGGTCTGGACTCTTAGGGTGGGGAAAGGGAGTCTGCAGTCCACACTCCACACTCCAGGCCTAGAGCCAAGAGCTTACCCTCTGGGCTCGACAGGCTGAATACAATCACTCTGGAGATGGGTCCATCCTGCAGGACTGTCCATGTCTGCAAGATCTCTGTGTGGAAAGCAGGGACTCAGGGACCTGTTCCCATGCCTGGCTCTGTCCCCACTCCCCACCCAGGCCTGACCCTTACCTCGATTCCTCTGGTCCACGTGAGCCACACGCACATAACCACTCTGACAGCCCAGAGCTGAGAGCCGCCGGGATGAGCCAGGGAGGTTGTGGACATCAAGCCAGAGGACACTGGTGGGAGGGCGATGGACGAGTGGACAGACAGCCTCTTCTGTGCTTCCCGTGAGCACCGAGCCCTCCCTGAAGCACTGGGGCCCTACAGCCTGATTCCTGAGGGGGCCATCCCTACCGTACATGCTCACTGAGCCCCACCCTGCTTGCTCTGGGGGGGGGCCACCCATGATCAATTTCTTTGAGGTGGAGCTGAAACCTTTGAACTTGCTAACTGCTGCTTTTTTTCCTTTCCTTTCCTTTCCTTTCCTTTCCCCTTTCCTTTTCTTTCTTTTCTTTCTTTCTTTCTTTCTTTCTTTCTTTCTTTCTTTCTTTCTTTCTTTCTTTCTTTCTTTCTTTCTTTCTTTCTTTCTTTCTTTTTTGTTGAGACAGGGTCTCATGTAGCCTAGGCTAACTTCAAACTCAGGGATGGATCTGAACTCCCGACTCTCCTGTCTTACCACCCGAATGCTGGGGTTGTGGTGCCTGGATTTTGTGGTGCCCCAGATTACGTGACAGAACCTAGGCTTTGAGCATGGCAAGTATTCTGGCTTCTCTGCAATCAGGGCCCTGGTCCTTTCTTCAGGTACGGGGGTCCCCTCCTACCTACTGGTCAGGTTTGTGAGCTCTGGGAAGAGGTTTTCCACGGGCTGCTCCTCAAACTGATGTAGCCCCTCGTTCTGGGGAAGCGAGACCCAGCCCAGGACATGCAGTCAGTCAGCAGCCTCCTGCACAGAGGCCGTTACTGCTGTGGGGTTCCCTGGCAGAGTATCCCCAGCCTGCCCACCTCACCTCCTTGTACAGATGAATGGCTGGGTCATTCCCACTCAGAAGAAAGACAGTCTCCAGCTGGTCCCCAACCTGGACTCTGAAAGCAGAGAAATTTAGAATGTGCTAGTACCTGAGTGAGGCTCAATTCCTCCAGGGATTTAGAAATGTCACTGTCAATTTATTTTGAGATAGGGTTTCCGGTGCCACAGGCTGGTCTTGAACTATGTAGACACAGATGGCTTTGAACTCCAGTACCTGTATCCCCCACATCTAGCTTGGACTGTGTTTGTGAAAACAAAGAAACAAAACCAAGCCAGGCATGGTGGCTCATGCCTGTAATCCTAGCACTCAGGAGGGCAGAGGCAGGCGGATCTCTGTGAGTTTGAGTCCAGGACAGCCAAGGCTATCTAAAACAAACAAACAAACAAACAAACAAACAAACCAAACTAACAAACAAAAATCTTGCTTGCAAGAACCCTGATAGAACAGACTCACATGCCAGACACATGCACGCTTCGTGTTTTGCAGACTGTACACCAACCCTGGAGTTCTGAAACTGCGGGGGCTCAAGCCGCAAGCGTTCTGAGAGCCCTCAACGGCCTGAATTTTCAGGAGAGGGTACTGTAGAATGAGTCTGCAAAACCTTACAGCAAGGGCTGGTAAGATGGCTTAGTAGGTAAAGGCAAGTGCTACCATTCCGGAAGATCTGAATTTAGACTGCAGTTCCGCACAGGACAGAACTGGCCCCTGTGGGCTGTTCTCTGACCTCCACCTACATGCTGTGGGACCCCCTTGCACACAGGTAAACATAGAAGAATCTTCACGATGAGGTGTGCACATACAGGCATGCACGTGTGACCGCACGAGCACACCAGCACACACTTTCGTATGCACCCGTGTACGCACACAGACACACCAGAAGCTGCATTTGTATATCTCTCAGCGGCTAAGTGCTCTTCCTAACTAACGCTCAGTCGGCATCATCGCAAACATTCATTCTCGTTGTCAACTGCTGCTGGCTGTTCCAGCGGCGGAATTGTACATCTGTGGCAGCAACTTCTGACCCTGGAACCCTAACATTTACTAACTAGGCCTTGACAGAAAAAAAAAAGAGTTGCAAAACAAACAAAACAAGATGTTGTTAGTCTCTGTATCAGGGGTTCTGAAGCCCTGGAATAGAATCCACATTCTTGGGATCCTAGAACACGAAGATTTAGATGGTCCGTATTCTCCCTGCTTCGAAGCCCTTCCACGGACTCCCAGGCACTGCTGGGTCTCCCTTCTTTTCCTTTTCTTCTGAAGCGGGGTGTCATGTGACCCAGGTTAGCCTTGAACTCATTTTTCTGATCCTCCTGCCTCTGACTCCTGAGTGCTGAAGTTAGAAGTATGTAGCACCGTCACTGGTTTATGTGCTGCTGCAAATGGAACCCAGGGCAACTTGTGTGCTAGGCAAGTGCTCTGCTGCCTGTGTGGCACCTCGGCCTCCAACTGTATCCTTTAAGTCTGGGAATCTCACGGCTCCTGACGCTAGAGGACCACCCCACGTCTGGGAATTAGAGATCTAAAACTTCTGAAGTTGAGTTCTGGGTGTTCAATTAGCTGCTGTTATGATTTGGCTGAGAGGTGACCATGTAGCCATCTTGGCTGCATTCACTCTGAAAAGCACTTTCAGAACCAGACTGGTGTCCTGTGAAACCCACTTCCTGACTATAATTCCCATTACTTCTTGAACCCATAACAGTACCTGCTTCCAACCCTTATTATACTAAAAACCTTTTATTTTCCAGATGGGGTGAAAGGCTCCGAGTGCAAGGAAGGGGTTGGAGAGCATGGGTGCCCAGGGTCACTCACTCTGTGTGGCACAGCTGGAAAGGTGTGAACTGGAGTTCCAAATTCAGGCAGCTCTCTGCAGAAGGACACAAGTTGAGCTCAGCAGCACCTACCAGCCACGCCCACCCTCTCCCTCAGGCCTCACTCACCTGCAATGGAGTCCAGGTTGTACTCCGAGCCAGGCTCATAGTCACAGTAAATGTTAAGAAAGGGACTGCCCTTGTCTCCTGAGTCCTGGGGATGGAAATTGTCCTCAGGGGGGATGAGAGGCATTTGGGGTAGACTTGGGGGGATCACCTGTGAGTTAGGAAGAGGGTGTGGACAGGTGGGGGTGCTCTGGTACCTTTATGAATGTGATGCCCACAACCAGGCCCCGCTTTGGGGGTGACTTGTTGAAGGTGTCGATGGAGACAATCTCAGCATCCACTAGGGGGAGAGGAGATGTCAGAGTTCACCAATCAGCAAGTGCGCTCCTGCACCCTTAGTCACTCTAACTTCCTACCACTGCAGTATAAAGTCTTTGGGTCCACGGGAGTCCTAACCACCATCACCATGACCTTTGGCCACCGAGTACCAGATCTCTATGCTTGCGGAATTCTGGACCCTAACTACTTTCAGGCCATGACCGCCCATGCCTCGGACCCTAATGATTACCAGCTTTGACCCTGACCTCGCACCACAGTGACTAACTCACGCATACTCTTGTGTTAGAAGCCTCAACACCAGACTCCAGTCCCGCCCCGGCACCACAGCGCCACGCACCGGGGATGTAGTTGAATTGCAGCTCTTTGGCCACGGGACGGATTTTCTGTCGGAGGTCTTGGTAGCGGAAGCCTAACACCTTGCCTTTAAGAGTGGCGGCCAGCAATTCCCCTCGCCCGTCGGCGCCTCCCGCCAGCCCATATACGTTGCTCTGCGACGAGAAGCGCGTGAAGCTGTCCTCGCGGAGTGGACAGGGTCCTGCCGCCACGGCCACCTCCCCCATCCCGGTCCTCCGCGGTCGGTCCCAGCTGGCCTGCTGCTCCCCAACCTGCCAGAGAATCGCCACTCGTGCACAATGATGACGTCAAGAAGCTGCCGGCGCTGCCCTCTACCAAGATGGCGCCCGGCTCCCAGACCGTGTTTCCTTTCGGCGCCTGCGTGCTCTGTCCTTTCCCATTTCAGAGCTAAGGAGAGTGTCTTTCAGAACTCGGTGCGGGAGATGGAGGAATCTCCTGGCCTCTTTGTAAGCGATGCGAAAAGGAGAACGCTAAGCACCATGAATAGGGGGGTGGTGGTGCAGGCCTGTGATTCCAGCACTGGGGAAGTGTAGGCAGGTGGATCTGCTACATTGTTGGAGGCCAGCCTTAAGGATTCAGGCACTTTCCAGGCCAGCCAGGCTACAGGAGGGACCCCCCCACCAACACACACATGCACTTCTAAAAATATTTTCATTCCCCACAAAACACACCCAAACAACAAAAGAATTAGAAAACCTAATTAACCTTTTTGGATTAGCATCTATCAGTTTATTTAAAACTCATAAGCAGGCTGAGGCACATACCTTTTCTTTTTTTCTTTCAGAGACAGGCTCTTGCTTCAAGGCTGAACTGGTAATTTATAAATCAGGCTGGCCTCAAACCTGTGACCGTCCTCTTACCTCTGTCTGCCAAGAGCACAGCATATCCTTCTAAAGTAGGTACTCTTACGATTTATTTTTTAAACGTTTGTGTATGTTTCTCTATGGGTATGTGTAGCACAGCACGTGATCGACGAACACTGTGGGAGTAAGTTGTCTCCACATTGTGGGTCCCAAGGAGTGAAGTCAGGTAGGCTGGGTGGCAAGCGTCTATACCTGCTGAGCCATCTTGCTGACCCTAAGGTACTCTATCGGTTGTACAGGTGAACTGAGGTGAGTAACTTCCCTAAGACCATAGAGATAGTAAGCAGTAGTTAGTATTAGAGTTATACATATTAACTTCATACTTAAGCAATATCACCTTTAAAACATTAGTTTTGTTGTTGTTTCTCTGTGTAGCCTTCGCTTTCCTGGACTCACTTTGTAGACCAGGCTGGCCTTGAACTTACAGAGACATGACTGTGTCTGCCTCCCTGAGTGCTGGGATTACACCCTGTGTGCACCACGCTGCCTGGCTGTAAAGTGTCTTCTTATCCCAGGGAAAGATCAGTTTGATCTGTTGGTCCTGGTGGCAGATGAGACCTGCTTTATTGAACACTCCCAGTGACAGTCTACAGGACCTGTGGCCACCGTGTCCTCGCAGGCTGCACCTGGTACCATCACAGCCTTTGGAGAGTCTCCACAAACTCACCATAATTGCGCAGAGCGATCCAGGGAGAACAGGCTCTGGATTAATGCCTCTCAGTGATGGAGATGGGCTGGAAGCCAGGTGCTCCCAACTGCGAGGCCTTCAGAGGGCCTGGATTTGCCACTTCATTCTTAGTCAAACCTCAGCACCTGGAATGCATGGCCCGACACAAAGGCGGCTCAATAAATGTTAAGAACCTGCCCACTATGGGCCATATAGGTGGCATAGACGATAAAGCTGCTTTACGTAGAAGGGCAGAGGAGGTGGTGCTCATCTGTAATCCTAGTACCCCCTGCAGAGATGGAGCGGGAAGCTCACAGACCAGCTAAGGTGGAGTCTCTGTGTAGACCAGGCTGGCCTCTCCAAGTCAGTGATCCACCTGTCTCTCAAGTGCTGGAACTAAAGGTACACCCCACCACATCTGATTGCCTCTGGAGCTTTTGTGTATTTGCATGTAATGAGTGTATCATATGCACATCTGAACACATACACACACAGGAAGATGGGACATCAGCTGTCCTGTCACTCTTACTGCCTTGAATGGAGTCTCTTGTTGAACCCGCCTCTAGGCTTCTGGCTACCAAGCCCCAGCAATTTCTGGCTTATAGGTATGTGTGGCCACAGCAGTTTTTTTTCACATGGATCTTACGTTGGATTCTCATGCTCTTACCCACTGAGCAATCTCTCCAGGCTGTGCAGTTTTTGTTTTTGTTTTTTTTTTTTTTTGACTTCTGACTCATGTGGCAACTTATAAACACGTTCACTCAGTTTCCAACCTTGGCGTGTATTTGAGCCACTTAGGAAGCTTCTCAAACTCCAGAGGGTGGCCACAGAGCAGCAAGGTGTGTCCATGGCTTGTAGATGGGTCAGTGATGTGGAAGCAAAGCCAGGGCTGAGGCTCAGACTTGGGCATAAAAGGGAGATTCTTATAAGCCTTCTTGGCAATCCCACGGTGGACAACTGTCAGCCTCCAGCCTCAGGTTTCTCCAGAGCTAAGGGCCACTCAAAGCTAGCAACTGACTGAAGCTGTGGGGGCACTGGCAGGAAAGAGCAGCAGAGCAGGATGTCTGGCAGGCCAACCTTGTCTACTAGGTCTGCTTCAGTTAGGGCAATCCCACAGGGCAGGGACTAGCTCTGGCAGTCCCACTGTGGGGTGGAATGGGTATGAAGCTTCTGCCATGTCTTCTGGCATTGTGGATGGAGAGGAGTTGGGGATAGGCCTCACGGGCCAGACCAGAGCGTCTAGAAAGCTCTGACTCTGAGGCTCTGGTGGAGAAACCTCTAACTCCCCACAGGCCAGCCGGGGCCCAAGGGGAGGGACACTATGGGCAAAAGGGACAGCGGAAGAGACTCATGCAAAAGTGGCAGGTTTTATTGTCCTTCTTGGGCCAGCTGCAGCTTCAGGTCGACAGACAGACCTGGATGCAGGGAAAGAAGCAGGTGCAGGGCAGGGCCAAGGCACCCCTGTGAGCTCCAGGGTTGGGTCTAACCTGAGACACTGGCATTGTAGGGAGCAGGGGAAGGCTCCAGGGGCAGAGGTCAACCCCAGCCTCGGAGAGCAAGTTTCAGAGCTACCTATGTTCTTATCTCTGCTAGGGGACAAAGTAGGAGAGATGGAAAACAGCCTTAGCACACAGCTGGTCAGAAGATGGGACTGGATGCTGACCCCAGGTTCTGTCAGCACACAGAGAGGTCTGCACTGGAGATTCTGTCCAGGTGGTTTCCAGGGCAGGACACCTTTAGGGGTTTAGATCAGTGGCAGGCTGAGGGATGCAGCGGGCACAGGGTGACCAGCTGGACAGCAGAGCCTGCCCGGCGCCCTGGAGGATGTGGCCCACATCGCACCCACTCGGCCTTCAAACTCCTGGTGGAAGGTGTTGGCCCCACCTCTCTGACAGACAGATGGTGGAAGGCAGTGGCTGGAGACCTAGCGGAGGTCCTCCTCGTCACCCTGAATGGTCTTTTTGATGCGCAGAAGCATGGTGGTGAGCCACTGGTCCAGTCTGGAGATGGAGTCATATTCCTTCACCTGTGGCACAGGGAGAGTGACCCTTGACACACTGCTTCCTCCTGGCACTCTTCCTGGCCCGTCTCAAGGTTTCCAAGAGGGCACCCTTTCACCTCAGCCTGCAAAGACTGCAGCATGATTTGGAGGAAAAATACTTCGTAGCTTAAAAGTTCCATCCTGGTTTTTTGGGTGGAACTGAGGCCTGGAGGCTTGAAAACAATACCATCTCCCTACCCTGTGCCAAGTGGGATGTGGCCAGCTTGACCTCTGCCCTTGGGACCTGATTACTGAGGGCACCCAGAAAGTGATGACAGTGGCAAGTATTAGCTACAGGACACTGTTGGAAACAAATGTTCAGAGCCAGTGTGAAAGAGAAACAATCTTCTAAGGGCAGCTGGGTGGTAAGAGCTTGGACAGCTTAACTGGCCCCAGGGCCTCTGAGAGGGTGTGAAGTTTTGGTTTTGAGGGCAGAGAGATGGATTGAAATCTCAAAGGACCAAGGCAGGTACCAGTCTCTCCTCAGTCTTTGTGCCATTGTCTATAAAGAGAGGCAAACACTGAAGGTTCCAGGGTGACGCACAGGAAAGAAAATTACACTCAGTACCCAGGGCCTATGGTTCAAGTAGGGCAGATTTTTTTTTGGGGGGGGAGGGTTTCTCTGTGTAGTCTTGGCTGTCCTGGAACTCACTCTGTAGACCAAGCTGTCCTCTAACTCAGAGATCCCCCTGCCTCTGCCTCCAGAGTGCTGGGATTAAAGGTGTGCGGCACCATGGCCAGCTTAGGTAGGGTAGAATTTATGAGCAAGCACACTGGAGAAGATCCACTGGCCAGAAGCCCTCAGCCAACCACTCACCGACTCTGTATAGCTGTCCACATTCTGTTCCTCGTGGGCCTCCAGCAGCTTCTGCAAACAGGTTAGGGTTAGCCAGATGCTGTGGGCTATAACTGCAAAGAGGACCCCACACTGACAGGCTCCACCCATCAAGGGATGGTGGTGTTGGACCCCAGGCTCCTGGCCCTGCCCATTTCTCTCCACTGTCACTGCATTAACTGAATTTTTCTCATGTAGGAAACAGAGCAGGAGAAAACCAAACACAGTCCTTTGAGAATCTCACTAGACAATCTTGGTGGTTACCCCAGCTGTGACCCAGGCATCCAGGTGTCCCTGCCCACTCCACATCCTGGTCGAGGCGAGCGAGATCCAGCACTCACTTTCATTAGCTTGCATTCCCGGGAGTCCGAGAAGGCCGGGAACAGCTCCTCATACTTCTGAACAGCAAGCTGAGCAATAGGAGAGAGGGTGACAAAAGGTAACAAAGACCAGGGCCCTGAGAACACTGGCTGCTGGTTCTGAGTTGGTGCTCTATGCCCAGCCCTGGTCTCCCAGGTCACCTGACTTGTGCCTGACTGGTGTCATTCTCAACTTAGCTGAGTCCAGTTGGCAGAGATGGCTGCAGGAAGGGGCAGGCTTCCCAGGCAGGGGGTGGGGATGGAGGCAAAAGAGCCGACCCTACAACCAGGCCTACCGCTGGGCCTTCACACACGGAACCTTGTGAGAACCTTGCATGGATCAGTGACATTGCGAAAACACTTGGGATACTAGGTGAATGGAGTGGGGGTGCAGTGCTCTCTGACAAAACCTAATTGTGTGCTCATAACTCATCAGTGAGGGCAAAGATGCAGCTCAGTGGCAGAGCATCTGCACAGCAGGCATGAAGCTCAGGTTCCATGCGCACCACAAAAAGTAAAAACAGCACTGTTCCACTTCCCCCAAATGCATAGCTGCCAGCTGTCCTCAGGAGATTGTGGGGCAGCCAGACATCACATAGCCCCTGCGTTCTGATCAGGAAGCCAGATGACTGAAATTCAACACCCAGTTTCCAGATCCTTCCATCACCCACTGCCATCCCTAACCCTGACCTCTCTTGCCAGGAAGCACTGATAACCAGTGGGTAGGTATTGAGCCAAAGGTAAAACCATGCCACCAGGAGTCCCAGGGCCTGGCAGGAACTGTGCCTGAGCCTCAGCACCTTCTGTACCACAGCTGAATGGGAAGTCAGGTTTTGCAGTAACTCATGAAGGGGACAGGCCAGCAAGGAGCCCAGCCAACAGCTGGGAACTCAGAAAGCATCCAGGCCTAGGCAGGGACACCAGGGTGAATAACACTAATGCCAAATTATTTTCCACTTTAACCAAAGGGCAGGGACCAAGTGGAGAAAGTAGCTGCTAATGCTGAGAAGTGACTTGGTGACAAACAGTGGCAGCTTGGAGAGGTGGTCTGGCTGGCGTGGGCTCACCTTGGCATTGAGCATGTCGATGCAGAAGTGGCAGAGGGCTGCCTTGAAGAAGTAGTCTTTGGCGCTGTACTTGAGGAGGGGACTGTCCATGGCGCTCGTCCCCACCTGTAACCATGTATCACCATGAACTTAGGCACGCAACTCAAGGGTGAAGGTTACTGTAGCACTAAAGCCTGCTGGGAGCTAAGCCAATACCCTAGGGTAAGGTCTGGGAACCTCAGGATGCTAGTGAAAAGGGACAGCTCAGCAAGGCTACCAAGTGTCGCCAGAGTGATTAGGATACAATGAGGGTGTGGGTGAGTAAGGGAAGCCGGGTGTCTGCGGGCCTCTCCCCACATTAGTGGGGGAAAAGACCCCACTGCTAACCATACAGTAAAGTGGCACTTGGTGGGCAGAGAGGTGGCAGTTGTGGGAGCATGAGAAGCAGTTCCCAGCCCTTTCCCCTGGGGCCACAGCCTGGCCATCCCCGCAAGTGGCATAGGACACTTGCTGCTTCCCTGGGTCAGCGTGCCTGTTCCTGCCCTACTACTTCTGCAGAGGCTCCCAGCTCTAGGGGCAGTGCCTGTGAGGAGCGGCAGGACACACATAGGACAAGGCAGTGACACACACAGGTCGTCGGTGGAAGAAGCATTTGTTGAGGGTACCCTGGGAGAGTAGACTGGATGGGGCAGGCAGAGGGGGTGGCAAAGCCCACCTGCTCATAGATGTCGATAGCCTTCTGGTACTGCTCCAGCTGGGCGGCGTAGCCAGCCACCTTCAGCAGACACTTGTTTGCTGAGCTGTGGGGAGGAGGGTCATGAGGGAACTGTGGCTAGTCCCACAAGGAGGGGCAGGCTGGGGAGGGATACCTGTTGGACTCTTCGCCTTTGTAGTAGTCTGCAGACTGCTCATAGTGGGCGATGGCCTGGGGAGACATGAGGAGGAGGCAACCGGAATGGAGGACAAGACGGAGCAGTGCACTAGCGCAGCCTCCCCTGCCTTCCAAGACCACACGGCAGGGACCCTTCCTCCCACTCCGAGCAGCGTGCTGGGTGTGTGTGTGTGGGTACACCAGAGGCCCAGGCACAGCCAGCTCACCTTCTCCACATCCACCAGTTCTGTCTCATAGATCTCAGCAATGGAGATGTGGTGCTTGGCCGCGATCGTGAATCTGCCCTGGGGGACACAGGAAAGGGATGCCTGTGACCAGAGGCATATTCCAGGACAAGTCTCACCCCAATCCACGCCAGCCTCCTTGGGTTCCCACTATGGTAAGTCTGACCACACAGAGAGGTGCCATGTGAAAGGGGTGGGCAGTAATGAGCTGACAGGAACAGTGGCCTACTACCTATCAGCTGTCTCTCAGGACACTATCCCTAGAACAGGGTGAGGCTGAGCACTCCTCAGCTCCTAGGACTTGGGGAGGGCCAGGAAAGGGAAGTGCCTGCATGGACATTGCAGCTACAGAGGGTCACGAAGGGGCAGAAGCAGTGCATGAGAGGTCCGTGTGCTGCAGCAGACACCACATTCTGTAGCCCAGCTCAGCAACCAAATTCACTGCCTCCCAGAGCACAGCACAAACAGGATGGGACAGAGCAAGGTAGGGCCAGCAAGCAACCCTTACCATGTCTGTATAGATCTCAATTGCTCTCATCAGACAGTTAATGGCCTCTGGGGAGGAAAGAGAAAACGGAGAGGTCATTATAGCAAGTAGTGAAAACAGGAGGCAGACTGTACTCCCCATGGAAAATGACAGGCACACAGTTGCCTTGGCTTCAGGGCTCTTGGGCTCTCTCAGAGCAACTAGAAGGAAAGGATAGGAGCCCTCGGCCCCAGGCAACCTGGTCAGATTCAGTATCTCTGTATACAGAGACATGATGGGCACATCTTCCCAGGGAGGCCATCTCCCTTAGGCAGCTGGACTTCTAGTTTTCTAGCAGGAACTGGCACAGTGGCATAGCCACACTCCCAAAGAGTATGAATCAGACTTGCA